CTGAAGGTTTATGAGTCTTGCTAACCCAGGAGAGCAACCTCTCCCATCTTGTTCTTCTTTTTCCACCAGTATCTTGACTCTTCTTGACTCATTGCAATTGCAAATGCAATTTTAAGTTACCATTAGTTAATGAGTTGAAGTAATCCGTGCTGAGAAGGATACCAGTGAACCCTATACTGCAGTGCTACTGACATGCCAGAATTTAGATCACAGGATCCTAATTAACGGGTCTAAGGGTTACTTCCACATGGAATGACAAGTGAGGTCATGAGGCAAATGCATCTTTGGCTGACGGGCTGAGACAAAAACTCTCATTTCTGCATCACTTAAAACAACAACAAAAAAACCCCAACAACCTGGGTGTGCCTGGGTGGCTCAGGCAGCTAAGCATCTGACTCTTCACTTTGGCTCGGGTCATGATCTCACGGTCTGTGGGATGGAGTCCCAAGTTGGGCTCTGCGCTGGGCATGGGGCCTGCTTAGGGTCCTCTCTCCCTCTCCCTCTGTCCCTACCCTGTTCTCTCTCATGCACACGCGTGCGCGCGCTCTCTCTTAAAATAAATGAATAAACTTAAAAATATATGTATATATACCTGGTCAAGGTCAAGGAAATGTTCGTAACATTTTGAAACACGAGTTTTCTGACTGGACAACATGGGAGACACGTTCCCATGCTCAGGCCTCTCCCCCCTCCACCCGGAATATTTTGCCCCGCTGTTACACACGCCGTGCTGCTCACTGCCTTTGCGTGTCTATTCAGCTGTCACCCGCTCAGCGAGCCCTTCCCTGCACTTCCTATTCAAAACCACAACGACCCCGTGCCCTTCTGCGGTTTATTTTCCCCTCAGACCCCCCTTCTTGTTCATCTGTGTTGGCGTCTCTGGCTCCCCATCAGACTCTGAGCCCCTGGGGCAGGGGCCCTGCCTGCCCCGTCCTGTCCTCGCCAGGACCGAAAGCAGGCCTAGCACACACTGAGCACCGGGCACTTATTGAACGAGCTCCCAGACACACGGTGCGGGTCAGCTGCGGGAGCGACAACTGATTAGTGCAGAGACTGCTCTGAGGGCGAGGCGTGAAGCGTCCGCCATTCGCCGAATGCTGAGAAGAGAGGTTATACCATTACTTTCCAAACAGAAAATCAGAAGCTCAGGTCAAGTTATCGTTCTGGTCTATTCTTGTGTGTTTCACATCCATACATTTAACAAGTTTATAACATTTTTATACTTGTTATTAGCTCCTCACATTTTCTTAGTGCTTCTGGCACGAGCTAGAAGAACTTCTCGTGTCTCCATCTGCCCTCTCCCACTAACTTGTGTAGAAAAAAGATTTCCAGAGCTATTATTCTTGAAAACACATGACAGGCTGTATTTAGCACATATGAGGTCTGCTTTCTTCTTTAGAAACAGAACTTCATTTGAACACATGATCTTTCATCCATGCCATACATGCATGGGTTTATTAGAGGGAATAGTAACTTTTATTTTTATTTACCTCCCGATAAAATTGTAGATTTCCCTTAAATAAAAGTAGTTCATGCGTCTCTCAATTTGCACTTAGAAATTCCCGAGACCCTGAATCTGGTTTCCACATCCTGACTTTAGTTGAGGCCCTGTCTTCTCTCGCAGGAAGTGAGCATGACGGTCAGGCAAGCAGCTGTGTGGCATGCAGCAGGAATCCTACCATTTCTTTATTTGAAAACCATGGGAATTGTACCAAACTATGCTCAGATGCAGCCAGCTCTGAAAACAAAAATGACCAGAACAACAAAGCAGTTGATCTGTCTCAAGGCTCACACAGCTAATAACGGACAGTCAACGCTCAAAACAGAGCTTTGTGTTGTTGTGTTTATGCAAGTAAATAGAAGGGTGCCTGGGGGGCTCAGTCAGGCATCTGACTCTTGATTTCAGCTCAAGTCATGATTTCACAGTTCCTAAGTTCGAGTCTCACATGGAGATCTGTGCTGACAGTGTAGAGCCTGTTTGGGATTCTCTCTCTCTGCCATTCCCCCACTCACTCTGTCTCTCTCTCAAAAATAAATAAATAAACAAACTTAAAAAAAATTAAAAAACAAGTAAATAGGAAAACATTCTTGTTATAAGAATTCTAATAATTGCATCATATTTAAAGAAAACAAAAAGATACTTCTTCACATCCCTTCCCTTAGCTTATTCCCATTCTCGGCCCCACACAGTTAGAAAATTCCCTTATGTTTTACAGATAGATATTTAGCTTTCTTTTCACACTCCAAATTCCATGTTTTTTTCCAAGACAGAATTTTTATTTTGTACTTCCTTTGTGATTTTCCACAATTATGGGTTTGTATTCTATACCAAATGGGCACTTGAAAAATGCTTTAGGTACCTGGGGCTGTCAAGTATAGATTTTGGCCGGGGGGTGGTGAACTTTAAAAAATAGTCATATAGTTATATTTAAAAAAGGACAATAGGGGCACCTGGGTGGCTCAGTTGGTTAGACACCCAACTTCGGCTCAGGGCATGGTCTCACAGCTTGTGGGTTCTGGCCCCGTATCGGGCTCTGTACTGCCACCTCAGAGCCTAGAGCCAGGTTCAGATTCTGTGTCTCCCTCTCCCTGCCCCTCCCCTGCTCTCTCTCTCAAAAATGAATAAACATCAAAAAATATATTAAAAAAGGACAATAAAATGGTGATCAATAAACCACACGTGTTTTATAAAAGAGAACTGGGTCATAATGCAACCTGAGTAAGGGGTCTGAGTTCACACTTGGCCCCCAGCCCACATAGCCCACCAGGGCCCCAGAGCTGACCACGCTCCAGGACCAGGCTCCAGCCCACAGTCCCGTGTGGGAGGCCCTGCCTGCCTCTCTGGCCTTAACTCACGCTGCTCCATGCTTTGCGTTCCAGTTCCATCCAAATACACTTTCTGGAAAACACACACACACACACACACGCTCCAACACTAAACCTTAATGCCAAAGATGACCTAACAGTGAATTAAAAACTAAGGGGCTGGCAAACATGCTCTGCAGTGTTAGAGGTCAGAAGGGCAGGTACCAGGAGAGGAGTACTGACCAGGGGCCAGCGCAGGGAGTCTCCTGGACTGTTGGAAACGTTCTGGATCTGGATCTAGGTGATTGCATGGGTGTACACCTATACTAACTCACCAAGTTGTACATTTGAGATCTGTACACTTTATGCCAAGTACACTCCAACTAAAATGTGAGAAAAAGTAAAACACAGAACTGATCAGAGAACCAAAGTCTGCTCTACTTTAAACTTGTTAAGATGCGTTTTATGACCCAGAATATGGTCTCAGTTGACCATGAATATGACCATGTTTACTTATGAAGAACACACTCTCACCTGCTGTTGGATGGAACGTTCTATAAATGTCAATGAGACAGTGTCAGCTGATGGTGTCACTCAGCTCTTCCACATCCTTGTTGATTTTCTGTCGAATCCTTCTACCACTGAGACAGGAGGGCTGAAGACTCCAACTGCAATCGTGGATTTCTCGATTTTGCCTTCCAATTATGAAACTTTCTGCTTTGTCTACTGTGGAGCTTGTTAGTTAAGGTGCATACATTTAAGACTGCTGCATCTTTTCCAACAGAATGGCTCTCTTTATCCCTAGTTATTTCTTTGCTCAGACTACTTTGATATTAAGACAGCCACTCCAACTTTCTTTTAATTAGCGTTTACATGATACATTGTTTTCCATCCTTTTAATTTTTAATTGAGTTTCTTATGAACAATATATAGTTGGTTCATAATTTTTTTTTCTTCTTTCCAGTAACTTCTTTTAATTGATATGTGCAGATCATTTCCACTTGATATAATTATTGATACATTTTTTTTTAAATGTTTTATTTATTTCTAGGAGAGAGAGAGAGACAGCTTGAGCAGGGGAGGGTCAGAGAGAGAGGGAGTCACAGACTGAAACAGGCTCCAGGCTCTGAGCTGGCAGTCAGCACAGAGCCCGACGCGGGGCTCGAACCCACGAACCGCGAGATCATGACCTAAGCGAAAGTCGGACGCTTAACCGACTAAGCCACCCAGGCGCCCCAATTATTGATACATTTTAATCAGATCTATCATTTTGTTTTCTTTTTTATTTTTTTAAATGTTTTTCTTTTGAGAGAGAGAGAGAGAGAGACAGACAGAGCATGAGTGGGGGAGGGGCAGAGAGAGGAGGAGACACAGAATCCGAAGCAGGCTCCAGGCTCTGAGCTGTCAGCACAGAGCCCGACGCGGGGCTTGAACCCATGAAATGTAAGATCATGACCTGAGCTGCAGTTGGACGCCCAACTGACTGAGCCCCCAAGGCGCCCCTCAACACAAAAGTCTCGTCTTAGTCCATAAAAGCCCAGGCACAGTAGAGTCACCCCAGGCCATGAGGGAGGAGCCACAACTTAGTCACCTTTGAGTCTCTCACAAAAGCCATGTACTCAATAAATCACAGATATCAACTACGTAGGTGAACTTGATGACGGTCATCAATATTTATTGCCTATCAGGATCTACAATACACAGACATGCAATGCCTGAAGACAACCAACACAGAGCGGAGGTTGGCTGAGATTCAACAGCAACGTTCTATAGAAGTGATCTTATTTCAGAGTACCTGCTTGAGTAGCACACCAGTATTGATACCAGTCCTTTTTTCATAATAATTTCAGCAGAATAACTAGAGATTATTCAACTGAATTAATCAACTGGTACTCTGAGAAATAAAAACATGTAGAAGAAAATACCTACTTCCAAAGTTTTCTATTACATAATTAAACACTAAAATGCTCTCTAAAATGCTAGAATTTTAGAGGCGGGGGGAAAGAAAAGCTTAAAAAACAACCCACAATTTTTTTTAGTTATATTCCACTTCAATTAAAGACGGTTTTAAACTAGCGATTGGGTGAGATACTAAGGCCGGATCAGAAGGAAATTACCCCATCCTAGAACACACGACATGTTCAACGTCAGCCACGACCCTTGCATACTAAGCGGTAACGAAAAGCAAGACTCACCTCGAAGTTGTACTTCTTCATGTGGTGGGAGCGCCTGCAGTGCAGGTACAGCATGCCAATGCTGCTGCCCACTGCGATGTAGTCACCATTGGTGTCAAGAGCTGTGAGGTAGACCACGACGGAACGGAGACCCTTCTGGACCTTTGTGGGAATGGCACTGAGGAGATAGTACAAAGGGCAGAACTCTCTGAAGGTAACCGGTTCTGATACTGCCGCCATGGCCGAGGTGTCCACCGATGATCTTCAGGCAGGACAAGGAATGTTTAGTTGGCATCTGGGGAAACCTGGGGGCTAAAGAACAAGGCGTGAGAATTACTTCAATGTCTGGTCAAGCCAAAGAGAAGTCATGTTTCACAGTGGGATCAAGGAACTTGCAGGTGGGGAAAAATTACAGCTGGAGCTTATTTAAATGGAGAAAGTAAAGCAGGTGTCATTAAGATTACTTTTGAGCATTCTGATTCAACATGCATGTCAAGAGGTATTGGCCTCTATAATTTATACTGTGCTAATGAATACTACGGAGGAATAGAAAGAATTAATGTCCTTACTCTCACGTAGTTTATGATCTGGCCAGGCAGGCAAAAGCAGCAGTGAAGACACACAAAACCATGTGACTGGGTGCGAAGCTGTGGGTCTTGACGGGAAGAGGGAGAGAGCAGTGCGGGAAAGGCTTCGCTGGAAGCATCCTGCAGTTCGAAGCTCACCAGGAAGCACAGAACACGGAAAGGAGAAAGAAGACAGACACTGTCCCAGGAGGACAAGGAACCAGTCCTGGTGTGGAAATACACTTGCCGCGTTGAGACAGCAGAGAAGCACGTCTACCAGCCGGATGCCTGCAGCCCCCCCTCCCCACCCCACCCCCGGTGCTCAGAGCCTCAGCTACACACCCGCTGCACACTGGGACCCGTAACACCTCCCGGCGCTCTGAATTCAAAGCCTCCCGCAACACAGAGGCTCAGTGCTTACACAGTGTGTTGTCCTTCATGAAGGGCGCAGCCACTCGTTCACTCCCTCTCCTACCTGTAAGATGAGTGGCGTCATCTCCAACTTTGAGAGGAAGGGCCTGAGAGCCCAAGGGTCACAAGACTTGCCAGCGACCGACCGCAAAGCCGGGACCTGAATCTAGGTCTTCGCCCTCCGGGTCCTGCGTCTCCCCCTTCGCACCATCACAGCTCTGAAGACGAGCAGCAGCTACAGGCAGTGCCCGATCCTGATTCTCCAGAGACTTCAGGCCCCTCTAGTAAGAACTTGCTGGGATGCTGGATTTCTGGTCTGCTGGAACTGTGGCTTTTTGATTTCTATAAAGTTGACTGACCAGCTTCAAGCTCTCTTGTAATGAAACTCACACCCAACTCATTCTCACGCAGGGGCCCCTACACTGGGCTGTATGCTCTTTCTCCAGATGTCACTCAGATTTTGCTGCTTCTCAGCACATAGCAGTCTGCTGAAATGTCCCCTTAGCCACCAGGTCCCACCTGACCATCCCCTAAAGTGGGCTTCCTACCACCACCGCCGAGCACTCTCTATTCCCTCTCTCTGCTTTACTTGCTCACACAGCTTCTTTCCTCCCTGTTGACTGGCCATCTCTGCCCAACTCCCTCTACCATCACTGGTCTGTAAGGCCCACAAGATCAGGGCCGCATCTGCCTCACTCACCGCTGTGGCCCCAGCACCTAGAAAAGGATCAGGCATATCAGAGGCACTCAGTAAGTACTTATTGAATAGATGGATGAGCTATGTGAAAGGAAAAGCTGCAAGGAAGGGATGAATGACAAGAATGGAAGGCCAGCAAGATATCACCTTTTCTCCAATCTGACCTCAATGCACTGCTGGAACAATAACCCCCGGATCTCTACGGCACACCCAGCACTCCAAGCATTTTCAGATTCCCGTTTCATGTGACAATCACACAAGTCAATATAATGAAGCAAGCAGTGTAACTTGTGAGTGCTCCCCTAACGGTAATAAAAGAATCATATTCCTCTGTGATAGTTAAGAAAATTGACTGGGGTCCCTGGGTGGCTCAGTCAGTTGAGCATCTGATACTTGATTTCGGCTCAGGTCATGATCCCAGGGTCATGGATCAGGCCCCGCGTTGGGCTCTGCACTGAGCATGGAGCCTGCTTAAGATTCTCCCCCTGCCTGGGGGTGCCTGGGTGGCTCAGTCAATTAAGCGTCTGACTCAATTCTGGCTCAGGTCATGATCTCACAGTTCATGGGTTCGAGCCCTGAGATGGGCTCTGCACTTACAGTGTGAAGCCTGCATGGGATTCTGTTTCCCTCTTTCTCTCAAAATAAACAAACATTCAATACACTAAGAATATATATATGTATATATTCTACCCCTCTACCTCTCTAGTGTGTGCTCTCTCCCTCCCTAAATTAAAAAAAAAGTTTTTTTTTTAATTTAAAAAATTATCTTAAAAAAAAGAAAGAAAGAAAATCAACGGATGCATCCTCTTCAGCAGAGGCTGCAGCCCTGGGAGGTGCGGAAAGTGCCCAAGCTCGCACACCTTGAGTGTATGTGCTGCTGAAGTGAGCACTCACACAGCTTTAAATGGCAGCTGTAACAGGCATCTGGATGGTGAATGCTGGTTCTGTCCACACAGCAGCACAGTTCATAAACTTGTAACTCTGCAAGGGCAAGACTAACCCTTGATTTATGCCAAGTCCTCCAGAAAGATGGGCAAGACTCAAATGATGCAGAAATCAAATGAAAACGAAGTGGCCTCAGGCACACTCAAGTGAGAATAGCTGCTGACAGACCCCACAGGAAAGGAGGTCGATCATTTAAGGACATGGGACACTAATCCAAAATACAGACCGCGACAACAGCAGTAACGATACCCGCTAATGCTGTTACTTCACAGAAACTATCCTTAGCACTCTAACCCATTAAATCCTCGCCAAATCAGGATCACCGTTATCTCCACTGTATGGATGAGGAAGCTATTCCTATTTCAACAATCTTTTTTTTTTCCTTAAATATTTTTTAATGTTTAGTTTCTGAGTGAAAGAGACAGAGTGTGAGCAGGGGAGGGGCAGAGAGAGGGAGACACAGAATCGGAAGCAGGCTCCAGGCTCTGAGCTGTCGGCACAGAGCCCGACGCAGGGCTCGAACTCACAAACCGTGAGATCATGACTTGAGCTGAAGTTGGAGGATTAACCAACTGAGCTACCCAGGCGCCCCGACACAATTTTTCCATCTTCAAGTATAAGGCAGCATAGGAGCAGTTAAAGGCTTTGTTTCCTTGATGGGTGTGTACATGTGAACACACTGAGAAGCCACAATTTATATAAAGTTTTTAAAATGAAATTTTCTTTTACAACAGTTATAAGCGTTCACTATCACAAAATTTAGGGGTGCCTAAGTGACTCAGTCAGTTGACTGTCAACTCTTGATTTGGGCTTAGGACACGATCCCACGGTGGTGGGATTAAGCCCCACGTTGGGCTCTGTGCTGAACGTGGAGCCTACTTAAGATTCTCCCTCTCTCTCTCTCTCTGCCCCTCCCAATCTCCCCCCCTCAAGCTTGTGGGCATGCACACTCTATCTCAAATAAAAGAAAAAAATTTTTAAGGGCCCCTGGGTGGCTTAGTCGGTTAACTATCCAACTCTTTGTTTCAGCTCATGTCATGATCTCACAATTCATGGGTTTGAGCCACATGCCAGGCTCCACGCTGACAGGTGCAGAGCCTATTTGGGATTCTCTGTCTCTCTCTCCCTCTCTCTGCCCTTCCCCCTCTTCTCTCAAAAGAAATACATTAACTTTAAAAATTCTGAAACACAGAAAGTACAAAGAACTAAGTAAATGGCATTCATAATCCCATCGTGCAGAGATATGTTCTATCTGCAAGTGGCTACAGACACACGTGTGCAGACACACAGTTTTTCACTTGACAAATCAGAACCATTTGTCATTTCATTAAATATTCCCACAGAACATGATCTTTAATCACTGTACAGAAAAACTGCAGAGAACACACTATATGCATAAACCAAACTTTTCCCAACCGGAGTGTTCTAATTTCTGCTTTAGTGGACAAGACTCCTCAGAAGCAAGTGGAAGGACTAAGCACTTCACAAACGTCAGCTGGTACTATTTTCTCCTTTAAAAGTCAATTTCCTCAAAACAACTCTATCAAATGATGACATTTAGGTTTTAAAAATTCCTTAACTTGATTTTATACTATTCACTGACAGCTCCATCATCTGCATTCGAGAGGGGACTGGAGACTGCAGTCTGGGTGGGTAGAAGGGGCCAGAGGACTCGCCTCGAAGCTCATCTGCAGGCTGGGCACGCCACTCTAACTGGGATTATATCTCTCTCTGCAGTGGCTTAGATGGTTTTCATGGAAGGTCAGAGTCCCCGGAATCCACTCTTTGGCACAATCAGTGATAATACTATCAACTTCAAAAATATGCAGATCCCCTCCTCACTCGCAGGCCCCAGCAAGGATGAAAAATTATGACAATTCGGTGGCAGATAATGGGCACTATAATCAAATTTTGAGTCAATCTTTTGAGCTGAAATTCTAGCATTCATGCCTGACTTCTCCCTCTCCTTCGCCCCCAGAGCAACCTCGTTCCATCTGCTCTATCACCTACCTCACACCTGGCCCCTTCCCACCACCTCTGTGACCGCGCCCAGGACGAAGCTGTCACACGTCTCACCAGGGCATCCGCAACATTCTCATGCCTGCCTGCCTGCTCCCACAGCTGCCCTCACACACCCGTGCTCACACATAGCGGTGGGAATGAACTCTGTGACTTCACTGAAATTAACAACTTTTGTGCTGCAAAAAACACCACTAAGACACTGAAAAGACAGCTCACAGAATTGGGGAAAATATTTGTTAATCACATATCATAAAGCATTTGTATCCAGAAAATATAAAGAACTCTTAAAACTCAGTAATAAAAAGACGTCTTAAATGGACAAAGGATCTGAACAGACATTTCTCCAAAGACTTAATAATGGCCAATAAGTTGGAGCGCCTCTGTGGCTCCATCAGGTGAGCATCTGTCTGACTTCAGCTCAGGTCATGATCTCATAGTTTGTGAGTTTGAGTCCCGTGCTGGGCTCTTCGCTGTCTGTCCAGAGCCCACTTTGGATCCTCTGTCCCTCTTTCTCTGAACCTACCCCGCTCATGCTCGCTCGCTCAATCCCTCTCTCTCTCTCCCTTTCTCAAAAATAAACATTTTAAAAAAGGCCAATAAGCACAACAAAGATGCTCATAATCATTAATCATGAGGGAAATGCAAAACTATAATGAGACATTACTTAAAAC